ACTACAGTGGGTGAAAAGCTATCTCAGTGACCGAAAACAGTTTACATGTATGGGAGAGTACATCTCAATGTGAGCCCATGACCTGTGGTGTCCCGCAAGGGTCTGTATTAGGTCCAAAACTATTTATTCTTTATGTCAATGATTTATGTCAAGTGTCTTCTATGTTGAAACCGATTTTGTTTGCTGATGATACAAATTTGTTTTGCTCTAACCCAGACCTGCAAGAATTAATCAAAGATGTAACTAGAGAATTAAAAAAAAATTAAATTATGGTTAAATATAAACAAATTGTCTCTTAATATAGACAAAACGAAAATAATGTATTTTGGTAATGGTATGAATAATATTAAAGTGGATATTTTACTGGATGGTGTTCAAATTAAACAAGTGAATGAAATTAGATTTTTAGGAGTAACATTGGATAGTCATATTAATTGGAAACCACATATAAAACAAGTACAGAATAAAGTTTCAAAAAGTATTGCAGTGCTTTATAGAGCAAGACAAAATTTGGATCAAAAAACACTTCTAATGCTTTACTATTCTTTAGTTTTACCTTATCTGTCATATTGTGCTGAAGTATGGGGAAATAATTACACAACCAACTTGCAACCCTTAGTAATTCTTCAAAAGAAAGTTATACGCTATATACATAAAGTGGGTTACCGTGATCATACCACGCCATTGTTTCTTAAATCTAAATGCCTAAAATTGCTGGACTTAGTAGAGTATCAGACTTTACAATTGGTATTCAAAGCAAACAAAAAATGGTTTACCTGGAAATATTCAGAAACTGTTTATTAAAAGGGAAGAGTCTTATAATCTGAGACACAAAAGTAATTTTAGATTCATAAATGTGAGGACGACCAGAAAAAGATTCTGTGCATCAGTATGTGGAATAAGATTATGGAATAGATTGTCTGTGGAATTAAAAAATAGTGATAACATAAAGGTATTTAAAAATAGCTTAAAAAATACATTCTTCAAGTGTTATGAGAAACAAAAACCTTAGGAAGGAATTGAAACTATATGTTTCTATAATGTGTGTGTAGGTATGCGTATATGTGTATATAAAAGTGTATGTGTATGTATAAAAGTGTATGTGTATGTATGTATGCATATGTATTTGTGTATATGTACGTATGTGTGTGCATGTATGTGTATGTCGGAATATACATATATGTGTGTAAGTGTATGTATATATATTACTTGTATATTCTGTAAAAGCAAAAGGAATGTGGAACACATAACTAAAGTAAAACACTTTTTTGGATAAGGGGTGGGACTAAATAAGTTTTTTACTTTCACCCACTCCTTTTCAAACAATTCCTCCGGAATTCATGTGAACTTAAACATTTTGTCTGTATATGCATGTTTGAAACAAACAAAATAAATACAAAAATACAAATACAAATGCAATATGAACACACAGTTAAAAAGGTTGATGGTTTATGAACTACAATCAGGCCAAGATATTAGAGAAGCAACATGTAAGATTTTCATGTAAAGTCATCTTTATGGCCCTTATATGTCAAAAGGCATTAATAAACCATTCTCGTTTCTAATACTTCAACTGATAACAGTAGTTCATCCGAGATACTTGAATTTCAAAATTAGTTTTACAGCCCCTAAATCTTGTTATTGTTTTCATTTCGATGTCCCGCCCTCCACCGTTTCAACTCACCACGTCGAGCTAATCTCACTGGTAAAGTGAGCTACCAGGTGGCAGCTGTACTAATAAAAAGGTTTCATTATGATTCTCAAATCATTAATGGCAAAACATGGAATACAATGAGGAATTCTATCGGGGCCTTTGTGAAAAGTGTAGATTTGTTGTTGACAAAACTCTTGTATATTCAGATATTATGGTCTCAGCTGGATTTGTCTGCATTTTATTCAAGGATATGCAATATATAATAGTGTCAAAATACCTCCATGATCAAAAGTAAATACACAACCACAGATGCCAAATATTAGATATGAACAAACCATCAAATTCTGGTTATACATTTGGATACATTTCTGGGATACATTTCCTCCTCTTTAAAATGTGCCGATTCCCATCAAGACGTTACGTAATACCTTTAAAATGTCCTAAATGATAATATATGATGATAATTGGGGCATTCACATTATATCATCACATTACATCTATTGCAGTTTGGATAAGACATGTTCAAAGCAATATATTAACGATCGCCATATTGTGTTATCAGTTTTGTGAGCCATCTTTGATGAATCATATTGGGACGGAGCCAGTGATTCTCAGCAACCACACCATATATTCTCCAGCAAAATAGCAGTGTTCTGAAATATACAAGTTTTGTTATACATTTGTGGCTGATCTCACACACAGCTTTGTCCGTTTTCAAGAATTACATTTAACTATGGAAATGGCAATAGGGGCCATAGCTTTTTGCTTAAAGATGAATTGACTTATCGCGAGTTCTGTACCAATTTAACTCAGTCTACTTCCTTTCATTATTGATCCAGTGAGTTATAAGTTAAAAGGTTTAATAAGTTAGAGATTATATTTTATCTTATTTTTTAAACTTATTTTAAAAGCACTTAACAAGATGCATTAGACTGGAAACTAGCAGCTTTGATCCAAAAGTAGATCATGAGTCACCAGCTCAAAACGAAAGACCACAACTACTCTGTCACGTTTTAGCATCTCGATTCAGAGTACCACAGAGACTCGGGAAGTAGAGTAGAGTGGAGAGGAGGGAGGGGTGTGAGACTTCTACAGACTTCTGAGTCGTGACTTCCGCTTCAAAGCTGCTGGCTGTGAGGATGTGCACGTGTTTAACATAAACTACACTGTGCAGTGATGGCAGGCCATGAAAGAATGAAACGTTGCAGCCATAATAAATTGTGGCCACTGAACACCACATGAACCATGCACCAAATACAGCCTCTACTTCTTGTCAGTTCCACTTTGGCTATAAGAGGATTTTCCCATGTGTTCAGTATGTGCAACTCAACATACAATATGTGGTATATGGAGCATTGCTATTCATTTCAACGTATTCTTATATAGCCCTAAATCATAACAGTCGTTATTGCAGACTTCTCAAAAACCTTTCAATTAGCCAAAACTGATCCGAAAATTAAAGTTCAAACAAGAAATGCAATGATCAAAAACTCAGAGCCACTGGTCAATAAGGGCAGATGACCAGTGTCCATAAATATTGTTGAATGTCAAGTGTCTTGGATCCTCACCCCAGTCATTTGACCCTCCTGCATAGGCAAGGAAAAACTAAAATGGAAAAAAAAAACAGTGGGAAAAAGAGAAACCTCAGGGAGCCCCATCTTGAGAGAGGGATCAGTTGGCTGTAGATCCAAGACACCAGGCTACTGCTGTAGCCAGCTTCACCTCCGCTCGTGCGAAGGCTAAAACTAATGCTATAATTAAAACTATAATTGATGCTATAACTAATGTTATAACTAATGTTATAAGGTTATTTATAGCAGCAGATCTGCAGCATTATTCTGTGGAGGAAAACGCTGGATTTAAACATTTGATAAGTGTACTTGAGCCACGCAACAGTACACTACAGTGGGCTGTAAGAAAAAAATAAATCAATAATCTAATCAAATCGTGACCCTAAAATTGAAAATCACAAAACACCCTAACACCCCTAACATAACCCAGAAACATTTCATTTCTTAACTTCTGGACCGAGGGTGTGACATGGCAACTAATCCGTGAACCACACAATCACTGATTCTCGTTCTACAACCCGAGTCCTGCGCTGCGTGGCCTTGGTTCTCATTCTGTATCTAGAGTCCTGGATCTATAGCCCGTTCGTCCGTGTGGAGCGGATCCCTCTCTCAATGTGGATCTCGACGAGGTCTCTCACTTTTTTCCCATTGGGTTTTAGAGTTTTTCCTTGATGAGGCAGGAAGGTCTGTTAGATTGTTAGAGGATCTAAAAAAGGGTGATGATCCAGGACACTAAACATTCCACAACATTTATCAACACTTATGAACACTTATGTGTTCTCTATTCTTTGAGTTTGAATCTTTTCATTCTCTGATCTGTGGTGATGATTTCAATGGTTTTGTTAGGTCCTCTGAGCTAACTACTTTTGTGATTTAGGGCAAGAATAAATCAAAATGAATCACCATTTCCCCAGGAGTTCACAATCTCCCATGTCTGGATTAACAAGTAGTGTGAGCAGTTACAACTGTATGCTAAGGGATTCCACCTTAAAGGAACAATATTTATTTTCTAATGAGTTCATAAAAATGCGTAATACTACAAGTAGTATTAAAATCCGTAATTTAATAGAAAACTTGAGCTCATTGATTCAGCTTGTGCATGAATTCAGGCCGTAAAAAGTGCTGAGTAGAAATTTTGCGTGACGCTAGTTCTCCTCCAATTACAGAACGAGGGGCAGCGCTGTTACAAACAGGCCTCGCCTCCTCTAGCGTCGGCACCGCATGTAAACACAACAGCATGGAGGCAGAAAGTGGCTATAACTCCTGCAACTGCATACACAGCCAAACAGCCCAAACGACGCAAAAGCGAGGCAGAGAAGAGGGAACTAAAGCGAAAAAATTATCAAAGAAGAAATCAAGCCCGGGTGAATATACGTAGTGTTAGCTTACGTCGCATCCTCTGGAGAGACCTGCGGGAGCAAGACCACCTCGGATTACATTTGGACGCGAAACTAGCGGTAATCTTTCAGTTATACATTTTGTACAGCTTACAAGAAGTTGCGCTAATACTAATGTTTGCAAACGTATCGGATCGCAAATAAAACTAAATGGCTTCGTGGGAGGAGAGCGTAGGGGAAAGAACCTTGCAGAAACGGGTATAGCTCCTTTAAGTAAAGAAGAGCCTGCCCATCACACCGACGTCGCTTCCAGCAACATTCTAAAAAGTTTTGTTATCCTATTTAATGGCCAGAGATAATGCATATTTTTCCTACTTTAACTTCACGGTAGATACAGTATCTGTGAATCTAAAGCAGAGCCATGTAAAGTCTGCTCACCTGTAGGCTCTCATCCTCTTTGACCAGTTCCTTCTGTGGGAACAGGTCCTTTGCCTTGATGTACTCCAGACTGGGAGGCCCCTCTTCACCCTGCACACAGGAAAAGGAACATCTTGATATCAGCGGTTGGCCGCATGTTTAATAAGTTACATATTCATGATATTGTTTGGACTAATTAGCCAATTTCATCCCACGGAGTTCTTGACAATGCAAAATGATTTTCTACCAATACAAAAAGCTTTCAAATGTAATTTAAAAACGAAACAAACTCCGGTTGATATGCACAAGGTAATCACACTCCCGAGACAGATAATAGCTGTAAATTTCTCTTATCAGGCAAACAACTGCTGCATTGGTGTCAAGGGTAAAAGTTCACCTAACACTAGGGTGTGTTAACATTAGGACTTTTGTAGACTTCATTCAGACTTCAGAAGCTGGACATTTTGGTCCCATGGAACCACAGCAGATATTTTCCTGACAGTTGTCTGAAACATGGTGCAGTTATGTAAAACTAGGCATACGTCTTATCACAGCACACTACACATTTAGTTCCTGCTCGTAGGCATGCTGTACAACAATGTGTTGTATACAACTATTAAGTAGGCTTTCCTAGGACATAGACTATGAGGACACATGTAGTCTGTGAAAAAATCTATCACATCAATCCCAGCCATCTGATATCAAATGCATACAATTGAATGACAAGACTATGAAAGCTGTGCTCCATAAAAATGGAGCACAGCTTGTTCCACAAGCGACACGTTTCTGCTTCGTCACTGTGAGCTTGTGGAACCGCCCCCTGCTCTGTCCAACCACCAATCACAGTACAGATGTTCCCCACATGATACTGCAAAGTGTAAAATCCATCTTCAGTTCACTCCATCAGCTGATTGGATAAATGTGATAAGAACAGCAGAGCCAGAAAAGAGCAGAGTCTTGTTTGCAATCAATTGTGTGAAGGGGGGGGGGGATACATTTAGCCTTGGTACAGCTCAAAGCTTTTGTAAAATAATCAGCAAGTTGCAGACAAGAATGTTCAAAATAAAAGACAAATTCACACAAGACAGTGGCCAAGTTGGTAGCAGTCATGTTTCCTCTGCCCCCCACCCAAAACATGCACCATAGGTAAAATCCTTTGCTGAGCATCCACATCTGGAGATGGGTCCCCAGTGCTGTACTACAGCTTGTGACAGGTGATCACTGGGCACTCTGCCACAGGATAACATGACAGAATAATGCAAGCATATACACTTTTCCATGATAAGGATATTAAACTAATATTGTGATAATAGTTTAAAAAGGTGTGACATGTAGAACATTAACAGCAGAAGACTTGTGTTAGAATTCTTTTTTTCTAAATGACAAAAAGCACAGGCCCTTCTGTGTTTATACAGCATTGAGTAAAGTAAAATAATTTGAAAAGTAGCTTTAGTAGTAGTAAGTAGTAGTAAGTAATCTTTATTTATATACCGCCTTTTCACTGCAGATCTGAGTCTCAAAGCGGTTTACAATTGTTAATTATGGGCATTTATCTCTCACTCCACACAGAGATGGGAGCGGGGTTGCCGGTACAGGAGGCGCATGCCAGACATGCCTATTGGACATATTTTTAGTGGTAGGGGAAACCGGAGTACCCGGAGGAAACCTACGCAGACGCGGGGAGAACATGCAAACTCCACTCAGAAAGGCCCTGGTCCGACCGGGATTCGAACCCAGGACCTTCTTGCTGAGAGGCTAGAGTGCTATCCACTCAGCCACCGTGCCGCCCGGTGGCTCTTTACTTTAAGAGTGAAAACTCTTAAACGAGTAACAGGAGGCAAACATGGGGTAATCATGAAGGAAAGTTTACAAAAGGAGGAAGATAATTGCACACTGCTTCTCAGTAGGGCTGAAACAACTAATCGATTAATCGACGACTAATCGATTATTGAAATAGTCGACAACTATTTTAGTAATCGATTAATCGTTTTCTGGTTCACACGGACTCAAACAGAGCAAAAATGACATGAAAATGTAGTATTTTTGATTAAAACAGACTTTGTTTTTATAATTTCATGAATATCTGTCTGTCTCATCCAATCAAATAGCAGAATTAGCACAAAGAGCCTGTTACAAACATTTACTTTAAGTTTACGCCATCAATACGTCCTCGAGTGTTGCCACTTTAGCTTTTTATGATGAAAAAATATTTTTTTTTCTACACAATTCACAGCCAAGCGATTACTCGATTAATCGTAAAAATAATCGATAGATTAATCGATTACAAAATAATCGTTAGTTGCAGCTCTACTTCTCAGAATACTGAATGGCTGAGAAACTCCAATGTGAGTGGATGGATGGATATTACTGTGTGCATGGATGTGGGGATTGAGGAGCACACTGCATTGATGGTTTTTTGAACAATAGCACAGCTGAGCACATTAAAACAGTTTTGGCTTCAGTTGTCAGGCTTTCTCACTCTGTGAAACTATGACGATGTAAACACTGTTCCGTAGATAATCTCTTACCGCCCCGGGACAATGGGACTGCATTAGTCTCGAGCCCAGGGCACAGTACAATATATATAAAGTACAAACTTCACAGTAGACAACCCACGTAGTTGGATTAATGGAGGCAAACTGGTCACAAAAATGTAATTTATAATTCAGCATTTCAGATTATGACAAGTTACATATTAAAAAAGTGGATGGAGACAATGAAAGCCGACAAATTCCTTGACTCTTTGTGCAGAGAGCTTTGATGCTCTGAAAAAGATGCCTTATGTTTGACATAGGCCTGTGAGCCTCAAACACTAGCACCTCAGGGCAACCAGTAATAGTGGTAACAGCCTGTGGAACACAGTGGGGGTTCCATCATAGTCAACTCTGATTACTCAATAACTGCAGCACTCATGTGTGCCGACCAACACCCCTCCCCTTTCTCCCACTATAACAGCATGGCCCGCAGTTTTAATGTTACAATATGAACAAAAAGGTAATAAGCACTTACAAAGCAGTTAAGCATAGAGCAGGATGCCCTCCCTGTGGGGCTCATGTCGAGAAGCAGCAGGGCTGTGCCACAGCGGCACACAACCGTCGGAGCAGCAGCGTGGCACAATTACGAGGAGCCGGCATTACCATTCTTCCCTCAGCCACGTCCTCTATTCCAATCCACTGCTTGAAGTGCGTCCACAGAGATGCAGTGCAGTTGCCTCAAACACATTCACACAAAAGCTCCTACTATAAGGACATAGCATGTCAGTCTGAGACCAGCTCCTGTTGCAGTAAAAGCCAAGTTCAGAGACAACAATTCACAAAACCTGAAGAAATAGAAAAAGTGGAGCATGGGAAGGAAGTGATAAAACCTGTATAGATGTGCTTCCGCTGCAGAAGAGGAATAAGAGAAAGGGCTGAAGGAGAGCAATGGAGAGAAGAGGCTGAGGAGGGGAGCAGCCTGATCATTAGCTCCGCCCTCTGTGTGCGCATCCTCCTCCAGAGCTCTCAAACACGTGCTCCCATCTTTCCCATCTGCCCCCTCCCGTTCACCCTTCACCGACATCCTCTCATAAATATGCCTGTGCCACAGCACCGTTGCGCTAAAGCACAGAGTGTTCTGCATCTGAAGCAGCGTCTGCGTGCAGGAGTGCTGCTGTCACACAACCTGCACGCACCACTGAGAGTCACCGGTAAAGAAGCCACTCACAGCGTCTAGACTCTGGGCTTTGTCAGGAGTGATTCAGCACAGGACACGGGCAGAGGAGAACACAAGACAAAGGGATGGACGAAAGAATAGAGGGAGGTTGACACAGCATTGAAAACCAAAGCTACCTTGGCCTACCTTTACGTCAAGGACAAAGCCATGAACCTTGGGGGACATGCACAGCCCCTCCCATTCTAACCTCAGTGCCAGAGTCGTGACAGCCACTTGCCTTCAGCTGCTGCCTGCATGATGCCTGACATTATGTAACAGAGATGCACACTGCAGCAGCATAGCAATGGTGGGCTTTACTATATATCCTATAGAATTATCACTATGCAACTATGTAATGCGTTCAAAGTAGAGATGCACGGATCCAGCTTTTTTACTACCGCTACCAGAGCTATGGGTATCTGCCAATACCAAAATGATCACACTAAAATGTATAAAAGAACTGAACTCTTTGTTATTCAAGTAACTGCAAAAGCAGTGGATGAACTAAAGCGCTAAACTTTCCATAAATGGATTCAACATAAATGCACTAGTATTAAATATATTTAAATAAAAAAAACAACAACACTGAAAACAAACCAACACGCTGCATGAAAATGTATATAAATTATAGAGTCGTAGCTTTAACTGGATTTTAGATATGTATTTGCATGATTTACCTGGGTTCCAAATGGTCAAACAGGTTCGAAAGCTATAGTTTTCAACAATAGATCATTCAATCAAATCTTTATTTGTAGAGCACATTTACAACAGCCTAGGCTTACCAAAGTGCTGAAAAATAAATGGATAAAAAAAAATAAAAACACATAAAATTTTTATATATATATATATATATATACATACATACATACATACATACACACATACATACAAAAATTCAAAATAATTAAAAACCGAAAACTAGTCTCTTTCTACCTGGTATTAAAAGCCAAAGAGAAAAGGTGCGTCTTAAGCAGGGATTTAAAGTGCTCAAGTGATTGTGCAGTTCTAATGTGCAAAGGTACTTTGAATTGCCTTGTGTATGAATTGTGCTATATAAATAAACTTGCCTTGCCAAGAGTTCCACAACTTTGGCCCTATAACAGAAAAAGCTCTGTCTCCTCTAGTGTGTGGAGGGAAGGTGGGGCTTCATATAAATAAGAAGGTACCATTCTATTAAAACCTTTAAAAACAATAAGAATTTTAAAATGAATTCTAAAATATACCAGCAGCCAGTGCAGGGATCGCAGAACAGGAGTGATGTGGTCCCTGCGCTTTGCCCCGTTAAAAGACTGGGTGCTGCGTTTCCCACTCCCTGTAAGCGGCTGAGCTGGGCCTGGTCAATGCCGGCATAGAGGGAGTTACAATACTCAAGCCTTGAAGTGATAAAAGCATGAATGGCCTGCTCAAAATGGGAATGTGGAATATAAGATTTTGCTTTGCTAAGAACTCGAAGATGATAAAAAACTTGTTTTAAGAACAGCATTTAGATGGCGGCTGCGAGCCCAAATTGATGAACTCCAACACTTTTGACTTGTTGCTGACAGCTTTTTGTGACGCTGCAAAGCATCCCCCAGTGTCATCTGTGTCTTGTTGTTTTCACGTCATCTACTTTTGCTGCAAAACTCCTAATTCTGTTTCACGTGGTGCATAGTCGCGTTGTAGTTTGCTAGTTTATCACCGCCTCTCGAAACATGACATTTGCATATAGTGGATGAGGCTGTCTGACTCGATGATGAAGGTAGTGTAAAAAACAGCTGCACAGCTGATTCCTTTGTGCGCTCCATGCTTGGGCGTGTTGTTGTTTCAGAGCGCCACGAGAAAGTGACGTGTACGCGCAAGATCTGATAAATTACTTTATTTTATATGTATAATATGCACAATTTATTTCAAGACATTGTGCTGTACCTGGTATGTTTGTATAAAAAAATTCTAAAAATTCAAAAAAGAAAATGGATGGGCTGCACGGTGCAGCTCTCGATGCAGATATCTGATCCAGTATTTTTTATAGTAAGTAAGTAATCTTTATTTATATACCGCCTTTTACAGACCAGAGTCACAAAGCGGTTTACAATGGTTATTTTTGGGCACTTGTCCTCTCACTCCACACAGAGATGGGAGCGGGGTCGCCGAACAGGAGGCGCATGCCAGACCTATTGTACATATTTTTAGTGGTAGGGGAAACCGGAGTACCCGGAGGAAACCTACGCAGACACGGGGAGAACATGCAAACTCCACTCAGAAATCATCATTATCAGCGCCAATATCAATACCAGTATTGGATTGGTGCACCCCTAGTTCAAAGAAAATGCGTTGTCTTCAGAAAGCTGAATCAGATATCAAGATGCATGATTGACTTAAAAAAAAAAAAAAAGAAGGAACTATTGAGGAAGATTTACTTGCTGGAAAGTTTGTATCAATCATCAAAGTGGCAGCACTTGAATACTGTAGTTGAGTAAAAGTAAACCTCAACAATTTGGTTTTTAAACCTTGCGGTAACACTGCATGCACACATGGTGAGGAGAGGTGTATAAGAATAACCGGTTTGCTCTGCCCTTCTCTATCAAAAGGCCTGCGCCCCAGAGGTAACTTGATCAACGCAGTTTGGTTTTGCCACAATGGGTTAATATTTACAGTCTATACTACAGTTAGCGCAGAGTGAAGAGACTGTTTTTGAGGTGCTCCAAATCTCACAATGGAATGTGATGAATATAAAAACTCATTTTTATGAGTGCAAGTTGCACTTCATAAAACAATTCATCACTCACATTTTACCCCTTTCTAACCACTTAAACTCACAACAGCTGAAGTGCGATCACATCAAGGCTGTGAAAGGTGAACTGAGGGGACTACTGTAATGATACCAGTTTATTCTGCAGTTGTTGCTGTTGTAATTTGCATTTATTATCACACAATTTTTGAACAATGCCCTGAAATGCCCAGAGCCAGCAGATACGATACGTACCTCGATACGTGATACAATACGATATGTACAATATGATATGTATCTAGGTACAATTGACTTTTGAACCAAAATGTACAATATCTGACCCCAAATATAAAAGGCAGGGCAAAAACGGAACGGTTGAAATGTGTTAGAATGGCAAGTCAAAGCCATTCAATTTTTGAAAGTCTGAAAACGGCAGTACACAAGTACTCAACATCTAATCTAACTGAGCTTGAGCTGTTTTGCAAAGGAGAATGGGGAAGAACTTCCCATCGTAAGCAGTGAAATGCCGGTAAAGTCATACCTCAGACTTTTGCTGTAATTGCAGCAAATAGCAGTTCCACAAAGTATTGTTTCAGAGGGAAAATAATTTTGCACACTTTTTCAGGGGCCTATCAATGCAGATGACTCAGTCCACAGGTTCAGCAGACCAGAGCCCTGCACGTTCTTGTCCTTTTATTTTAGCCCTAGTATGTAACCTCAGTGGGGACTTTTAGAAGCAGGGATGCCTCAAAGCCATTGGACCATCATTCATTAACCCCCAGATTCATGACCTACATAGAGCATAATTTAGATTATGCTAGAAACTATCGCACATGGTGTGTGTTTTCACAAACAAACCCACCCAGACACTAACCAGGAAACATATTTGAGAAACAATTCTAATTTACAAAAATTACATTGCCACCAACTGGTCTCACTCAGCATCTAGCCATTTGGTCTCATGTGTCTCAGGATTTATTTTAGGAAAGGAGGCTACAGAGTCACCCAAGCACACAGAGGCGGATCACTGGGATATTAATACCAGCAAAGTTGCACATAAACCATTACTACAGTCAACGAAACAAATGAGTCTGTTCTTTTAGCACAGCAGCAGAGTGCTCCCTATAATATTGTCAATATCTCAATTCATTAACCCAATGCCGTGGGTTTAAACAAATTGTGCAGAAAACCCATTGTTTATGTGTATGCATATATAGATACATATCAACCTTCATCATGATTGGCTCACCATGCTGACAACCAGTGTGAAGGCACAAGATCTGGGAACTCCTCCGCAAGTCCCTCCCTCTCCACTCCTCTCCTGGTGCTGGTGCAGAGCCAGATGTAGATCCTGCCAACACATGAAAACACAGCTTAAGCAAAGGGCTGCATTCCTGAAGTTTTGGAAACACTGACAAATACACATTCACTACGTGCTTGTGTATATACCATTTGAATTTTTTTAACGGTTTGAACTTTAAAAAAAAGTAGATCACAGACTAACCAAAGTTCAGGACAACTGAGGTCAGCCTCCATGTAAACATTATCTGCAGACAGACATGTAGGCACATGAGGTCTGCTGCTGCGGAAGTAACATGGGCAGCTGGGGGAAATCATTTACAAGAATCGCAAAGACAGAGCTCAACTGCAACACAATCACTTAAACCAAATGAGTATAATCCGCTTTAAACTAGAACTTTATATTCAAACTGAAATTGATTTCAGTTTGCACACACAGGTTTAGTGTAAATTCCAATTCAACCTGCACCTACTTTTTCTTACTGACAGTACACACCCCCTTTTGCAAACCACACAAGCACCAAAAAGGACACCGAATACTTTCCCTTACCTGTTGCGATTTGAATTTGGGTTCAGTGTGAGCTTTTGTAGTAGGCTTGTATAGTAGTCACAGCAGACTAGTGTTCTCAGACACATTCTGGTAGTATTCCAATGCTGGATATGCCGAGTGCAGTCCCTCCCTCTTGCTCAGTACACCTCCCACACACTCTCAAAGCAATAGTCAAATGGTCCACGTTACTCAAATCAGTTTTAACTAACATAAATGTTTTTCACTGCAAAGTAAAAAAATATTCCTTTTACCCCTCCAGCCTGAAATACAACTATACAGAACATACAAGCAGTCAGGTAATCTGTTAGTGACCCCAAAATACTATATAAAAAGGGCCAAGAGCTACAGTGATCCTGGGAAAATGTCAGTTTAAACCAGTGCTTAGTGCTGACCCTAACCTATTCTTAACCCTAGCTCTAACTCTAACCATGATAAAAATAAGTAACTAACTCACTATATAGAGTCCCTTTCAGTAACAAAGCACTGTCTGCATTTTTCCTCTCACTTCATACAGTGATGAAGGCTTTCATGCCTTACAGGAGGCGCATGCCATTGTGCACGTTTTTAGTGGTAGGGGATACCGGAGCTGATACAGGGAGAACATTCAAACTCCACACAAAAAGGCTCCCGTCTGGAGGTGGAATCAAACCTGAATCCTTAACAGCTCTAACCTTAACTTGATGAAACATCGATCCTGGGCAAACAGGATCGATGTTTCATCCACTCGGCGCGGTGGCTGAGTGGATAGCACTCTCGCCTCTCAGCAAGAAGGTCCTGGGTTCGAATCCTGGTCGGACCAGGGCCTTTCTGAATGGAGTTTGCATGTTCTTCCCGTGTCCGCGTAAGTTTCCTCCGGGTACTCCGGTTTCCCCTACCACTAAAAATATGTCCAATAGTTCTGGCATGCGCCTCCTGTACTGGCGACCCTGCACCCATCTCTGTGTGGAGTGAGAGACAAATGCCCAAAATTAACAATTGTAAACCGCTTTGAGACTCAGATCTGCAGTGAAAAAGCGGTATATAAATAATGATTACTTACTTACTACTACTACTACTACAACTTAAACATTAGTCCTGTTGGAAACTCCAAATTACAAACGCCACAGTGCAAAGCCACTAAAAATCAGTCTAAAAGTACTTAGTATTCTCAGCAATAGATCAGAGAACTATTACTAAAAAGAACATCCAAACCCAAATAAGTAATATATATATATTTTTTTAAATAAATAAATAAAATAAATAAATAAAAATACAATACTGAAAAAGTAAAACACACAAAAGATGAGCTATAAACTTCCACAAACAAAATACACTATCTTGGTATCAATGTTTGCATTAATTAGACACTTCCCCGTTTATAATTTTCTAAATCTGCCACATTGGCCAAGGAACACTGAAAGCAATGTCCTAGTTTAATTTATGACTTCTTCTTACTCACATGGCAATAAAAGAATTCTGATTCTGAAAGGTTGATCTCTAATGAGGAGTATTGATACCTTGACTTTAGGTTATGTATTCATCTGGATTTGTTATTACTAAAGTTACTTTAGCATCAGTTTAGCTGATTTTACACTGTATACTGCATTTGTTTTATGAGTATTTTAATAAAGATTCATAAAAAAAACAAATTATCTTAATCTAAATGAGCTATTGTAGATCCATTATTATTACATCAAACATACATTCTAAATATAAATTTAGTTGAGGACGAAATATGAAATTGTTAGTATTGAAATTCTAGTTCCTTTCTCTACAGTCTATTGATGGGCGGGTTTTTCCCGTACAGCGCGTGATACTGCCAGGTGTGTGCAGAGATCACTAGTGCCAGAGACCACAGGTGTGACAGCTACGTGCATGAAGCTGAAAGTGAAAGCATTTCCCTTCTCACAGCTCATATCACGGACATAATCGGCCCATGTGCAAACTAGCATCGTGCTAACGCCGGGATAGCTACAACTGTCAGGCAGGGAGAGCTCGCGCACCTACGCATGAAACTGATGAAACACATGTCACACCACGAGCGCATACGAGACCTACACCATGCTACGTATGTCACAGTAAAAAGCATCAAGAAAATAACTTAATTTAAGATATAAACCGGGTTACTCACTCAGAAAGAATCAGCTGACTGAACGGTGACTCAGTAGACTCCACTACTTCCGCATTCCCGCACGATGACAACAGTGGCGCCAATGGAAGAAGGAAACACCAAAATAAGTGCACCAATCAGCGCTGATGGATTCTCACACACCAATCACAATGCAAGGAAACAAAACAAAGAGTAGCGCACGCCCACAAAGAAGCCAATGAGAAACAGGAGAAGTTACGATGGCCAGTAGAAAATCACAGCGCGGCACGAATATTGCTTTTCACAGGATACTTGGGGGACAGGGCGCTGATTGGTCTGCTTTCTACTTTCAATGGCTTTCCTGATTGGCCAACCCAACCCCCCTCCCCAAGGAAACCAACCAATCCCTAAATTTAATCTGACTAAAGGAGAAATCATCCAATCAAAGGATGGGCTTTCCCGACCGTGCTTTGAAAAAATAAAAAGCTAAATCGTGAGCGCCCCATGCTGCATTCAGGTGACCTCGGAAACTCGGAGATACCTTAATAATAATTGGATTTCCCAACATCAGAGTGTTGAGGCAGCTGCGACATTGGCTAAATAATAAAGGTGAATTTTCTTTGTTCATTCATAAGAAAAGCAAAGACACATTCATATGGTATGAGAAATACAAGAGCACATATATTTTTCTACCTATACATGTGCGTATACAATTGTAGCAAAACTTTTGGTTGCAATTAAATATACTTCTCAAAGAATGTATGCCCTGAGTTGATGTCATGACATAGACTGTAGTTGATGTAGTTTCCATGCTCAAGAATGCAGCTGACCTCACATGCACTTCGAAACCAAGCCCTGGCCCTGCATCTGCACAACGCTATGAATCAGAATCAGAATCAGAATCATTTTTATTGCCACGTAAGTAACAGGAGGTCACAGACTAGGAAATTGCTTTGGCTCAGTGCAACAGTCAAAAAGAGATAATAAAAATAAGAATAAAAAACACTTCTAAAGAATGATGACCTTTTGCCTGGTCATCGACAATGTGTATGTAGACGACCAAAATAAGAACTTTTACTTCGGAAAGTGTAAATGTACATTGATGCAAAATTACCAATCAAGGCTAATGCGATAATGCGAGTACCTATGGTGTCGCCTAAAGCCATACTGTCGAGTACAGTACTAGTAAAGGAGTTCTGTATACCTCAATGGCTCCCTCTAGCGCCGAACAAAGTTATATAATTAATGTTTGTAAGCGGATCGTATAAACGTAGACTGTGAACAGATTGCCAATCGCAGTGTCCTACGGTCATTTTAATATATATTCAATTCCATTTGGATTCTATCTTTTTTGAATAGCCCTAAATTACTAATAGCAGTGTTCTTGGAGAACTTTGCAAAGCTGTAATTTCTTCAACAACCTCATCTAAAACCTAGCTCTGAATTGGAACCTCTATTTAATTTGACCTTGAAGCTCTGTTGCATTTTCAAATCGTTTTTATTATTTTGTTTTCTGAAATTATGACATTGGACCTTATTGGTTCTTTCAGAGAGGCTCCACAAGTCTTGGGAAGAATGTGAGATAACATCTGGACCAGAATATTTTAGTTTTAGCTTACCATTTTAAATAAAACTCGTACAATTTTTAACACAAATTACTTTTCTGAGGTTTCGCCGTATCACTCACATCCGTGAGCTGCACCTTCACGATTTTAAAAACAGCACTCACAGGAAGCAAAGACCAGAGGAGTAGCACTTTTTATGGATGGGTGTAGGAGGACGGCCAGGGCAAAAGCAAATGCTGTGATTCAAACGATAATAAGGAGAAAGAAACCTCACATGTTTTTTTCTTTATTAACCAATATTATTTTTTCCTGTCAGTATGAAGACACAGTTAGAATGGCCAACTGCCAAAACTGACTATATTATAAGATAACTTTTATTCATCCCATATGGGGGAAATGTTGATGTTGCAGTGCATATACAGGCAGCATTGGCAGCAGTGTTGGGATAATCAAAGAAAAGTAACTGTTACTTTCTTGATACTTGTAAAAAGTAAGTTTTAAAAGTAATTTGTAATATTTTACTAATAATTACTATACTTACCCTACACTGGTGTGCAGCTATCAGAATTGTTGGTTGTTCCATTGCTTTTGGTCCATAGACAATATAAACAGATCCACTTGTAGCTTAGTCTACTTAGAATCAGAATCAGAATCCTTTTTATTGCCATGTGAGTAACAGGAAGTCACAAACTAGGAAATTGCTTTGACTCTTGGTGCAAACAAGTTAAATCAGAATAAAATCAAAGGCATGCATGAATAAAAATATACAAAAATGTTTTCGGTTTACTATATACAAGTACACTAGGTGCACACAATAGTATGTTAAGAGTGCGGTAGAGTGCAGTTAAGTGACAGTAGCATAAAGTGACAGTCATAAGGTCAGAGGTGGATTATGAAGTGTTCATGAGTCCAACAGCAGAGGGGAAGATACTGTTCTCATGGCGGGAGGTTTTGGTCCTGATGGACCGTAGTCTCCTACCCGAGGGGAGTGGTTGGAATTGTCCATGTGCAGGGTGAGAGGGGTCGGCTGTGATACGACCAGCCCGGCCTCGAGCTCGGGTGACGTACAGGTCCTGCAGCGATGGGAGGCTGCGGCCAATCACCTTCTCTGCAGAGCGCACGATGCGCTGTAGTCGCATAGTGGTTGGTGTACAGGGAGAAGAGCAGGGGAGAAAGAACACAGCCCTGTGGGGCTCCTGTATTTATAATCTGTCCTGGAGCAGGGATGGCAGGATGGTGATAAAGGCAGAGCTGAAGTCCACGAGACAAGACCCTGGTGTAGGTCCCCGGGGAGTCCAGATGCTGTAGGATGTGGTGGAGGGCAGGTTGATGGCGTCGTCTACAGATCTGTTGGCTCTATAGGCAAACTGCAGGGCATCCTGGAGGGGGAGGTGAAGGACTTGAGATGAGAGAGGACCAGGCGCTCGAATGACTTCATGACTACAGATGTCAGTGCCACAGGTCTGTAGTCATTAATGCAATTATCCTTGTCTTCTTTAGGACAGGGACAATGATGGAGGATTTGAAGCAGGCCGGGACATGGCAAGCCTCCAGCGAGGTGTTGAAAATGTCAGTGAAGACAGGAGTCAGCTCACTTGTGCAGTGTCTCAGAGTGGCAGGTGAGGCATGGTCCCGGACCGGGCTTTATGGGGGTGCAGCCTCGAGAAGATCTATAGTTGTGATAAACTGAAAAAAAAAACAGGAGGAGAATAAGTCTTAAGGTACTTAAATACTTGCTTATTTACACTATTATCTTATTATAAGAAGAACCTTCAAAGCTGCATAAGTCTAACATCCATTCAGGTCCATAATAGTAGCTCTGGTCACTAGATGGCGGTGTTTAGTCATAATTTTTACCACTAACTTTCCCTCCTCATCGCATTAAAACACCTACGTCCCATCCATTTAATCCAAGGTATATATTTTTATAATGCACTTGCTATGATCGTAACTGTAATACATTACTTGTAAGCTTTAATACATTTTGCCTCGACTCTGAACATAAGCTTCTTTAGAAGGTAGTGGATATATTTTTTTTTAGAAGAAAAAAAATAATACTTGGACTAAGCCAATATTTCCATCACCAGACATGTCTTTTGTAAAATGTAATTATATAGCAGATATTGGCTTGCACTGTTGTAAGTAAAAAAGCCGACCATAAATACATACAGATTAATCCACTTTCACAAATGAGGAGAAACATAAATTGACTCTCTATTAATAGCAGTTAATATAGAAAATATTCAGGAGTCTAGACCTAATGAACTTCAAGATGTCTTTCTATCTGTCTAGTCACTCCCCAGGGAGGCGTCTAGGAGGCATCCGAAACAGATGCCCGAGCCACTTAAAACACTATTTTCACTTAATCTGATTACAACCACCTCATCTGATAATTGTCTGGCGTTGAGTTGAGCGTTTTCAAGCCTGCGGCTGCTGTTCCTTAGCTTTAAGAAGCCGACACACCTGCTGACAACTCCCACCCAGAGCGAACTGTCGAGTAAGCCCCTTGTAAAACCTCCGTAAATCCATCAGACATATATATTATAAATATATATTATAAGGCTCTGTGACTGCATGACAGGGATCAGGTTGCATCCCCTGGCACTGAATTTCTAACATGAGCACTCTTCTGCTTGTCAGAACAGGCACTTCCTATCTCCAAAACTTCACTGTATATGATACAATGCATGTGAATACAATGCATGGAAGCTAGAGAGGCGCTTGCCTCAGAGGTACTGAGACCAAACAACTCCCAAAGGTCTGAACAACCTGCAAATATGATCATAAAAAAACTACAAATATTTGAATTGTAATTAGACAATTATTACTTTTACAATTGTTTTAAAACAAATACTACTTTTACAACTGAGCTCATACATGCTATTCTATTTTCATTTGGATGTAAAACCATAACATATTGTTCAGTAACAACCCCAAGATAACTTTCAACTGGTCCTCTGTGCTTTGGACTTTGCAGACCACAGATTTGATTTATTTGCAGCATCAGGAGCCAAGTGGGCGCTTGAACTGGCTGTATGGATATTTGTAATGAAAAACATCAAAGTGTAACATTGAACATCCTAGAGCTCAACAGACATCTCTGAAGTAGAAAGATCTTTGGGTGATTAGCCATCTGTGTATGTGTCTCCAGGGCTTCAGAGCTGGAAATTTCAAGTCGTTATTTGAGGCCATTGAGAAGGACCAAGACGCCAGAGGCAACCAACCTGCACTAACATCAGACGGCCAGACTAAAGCTTTCTGCTGCTGTTGATAGCATTATATTCAACAGTTTCAAATCTGTTTATTAACAGTTCAATCAAAAGGCACAGGTCTTATTTCAAAATAATTTATTTGCATATAATTGGAATGAAGACAGGTGGATATACATCTGTGATAGCACTTTTCTCATATAGAAACCATCGGCCTGTACAGAAACCACTTTTAACCTGGACACGTGGATAAATATATTAGTAAATAAATATATTAGTGACATGTCACTATTGAAATGTTCTATTATATATAAAATACAACACTATTTCATTTATGTTTCAGTTGTTCTCACTTTGTACACAAACATTGACACCCCTTAAATATCTGGAGGGATTTGAAAAGGCAGTTTCGGCTTCGGATTCTTGCAAAAACACAAGATAAAAAACAATGACAGCTGTTGAACTGGAAATATAACATGTGCTGATGATTTTGTCTTAGTTTAAATAACACTCTGGGTTTATATAATCTTTCTTATACTCTCGAGCCAAAGTGCTGCTGATAGTTCAGTCATTTGTGTAAGGCACAAGGATGCACCAGGTCCATGACTGGTGAGGTACGAGGGACTGCAATTCTGTTGCGATTGTCAAGACGCGTTCAATTGTAAAATGTTCTCTTATTGGCAGAGACAATTATTGGAAAGCAGGTACAGGCAAAAGTTCAGTTACTTTGGTTTAGTAAATAAGTCAATTCTGCTTCTCCAAACAAGCAGTGGAAGGCACATCAAAGTGCAGAGAGCTCTCCGTCTTCAAATAAAACTGCTTTTGCAGTAAGAACATTTTAGAAAATTCACATTTATACACTTTGAAGGCTGCTAAATGCTTTACCTGTTAATGCTATTTTGGTCCTAGTCATTTGTTTTGAGGATAATTATTAAGCACCTGAACAATGCTAAATTGCAAAACGAAACACGTAATAGACTGTATTTGTGTGGCTACAATGTGCTATAATGAGTAAAACTTCAGTTGCTAAAGGACATTTGAAGTATCCTTATTCAAGGACAGTGAGGTGCTTCCAAACATGATGCCCATCCCTTTCCACTTAGTGTTTAACACCAACTCAAAGAAGCAGCCTCTGCATGACATGGCCGGAAAAACAACACCTATAGCTTGTAATGACAAAGACATTATCAGTCATACCAATTAGATGAATACAAAAGGCTACAAATAGCTGAAGAAAAATAAACATACATTTGTTGAGAACAGCTGCCATTTTTGAAATAATGAAAACAGGGCCCACGCAAAGCTCAGCAGCTAAATGCTGAGGGTTAAACCTCCTTGTTGACAGAAGGAAACATTGGGGATTATGAAAAGTATTATTTGAGGACTACAGCAGTACCTTTAGAGACCCCTGTAATAGGAGGGCTAGAAATCCAAGCTGAGGTAGGCTCTCTGAGCTGAGATTGGACTCAGCAAAGAAAATGCAAGACAACATGGTACCATGACCAAGTGACCAAGAGTTGGGATTGATGAGGCTCTTTTCAGTAAGCATGGGACATTGCCTATCGATGTATTTAATATTCAATATTCATTCTCTCCCTGCAGCTGTCTCTCAGGACATTGATATTAGGGATACATCATTCAACTGGTTCAGAATCTTGTCACATTTTTTCAAAGACATTTCAGATGCAAGAGCAAGATGGTTATGGTGGATTTTAGTAAAGAGTATGGCAGCAATTAGCAATGAAGCTTGTCCATTCTGGCTCCTTTGTAGCAGCGTGAATCTGGGATTTTAAGAAGTTCTCAAACACCTGACTCCTCTTCAGATCCTGTTGGCACACAAATAATTTGTTACAATCAGGCCTCAAACACGATTAAGACTGTAAATAAAGCAGACGCTCACCCTGATTATGTTGTAAAGTTTGGCAGTATAAACACAGATCTGTGCACAAGTCTGCAGCAGCATGGTGGGTTCGACATGGGGGTCTGTCTGTGGTTGTTCCTGGACTCTGCAGCTGTGGATCTGAGTGGGACTGCTGCTCCCGCTTTTGCCACACCACATGTGTCCCAGGGCAACAGGGCCAGTCCTCCATTCCTCCAGAGTCCAAGATGAGAGGCACAGGCAACAGAGCAGGCCTAAGCTCAGGGGGGGAGCAGCAGAAGCCCGAGCCTTGGCCGTAGTGAATGTGGATGCTGCGGCCATCCTGTATGTCCAGTCCCTGGTGAAAGCGAACAGTACTCCCATCCAGAACACAGGCCCCCACTCGTCCAAGAGGGGGGTGTGTATGAGAGTGTCCCGAGTGGCAACAGTGGGGCTGCAGCTGCAGAGGGACAGACGACACTCCAATTGCAGCTTCCGGGCTCATACTGAGCTCCTGGGATTCAGTCCCAGGACTCGGACAGTCTGTGGGCTCTGGCTTTGGGCAATGACAGGGACTGTGCTTGGGAGAGTCTATAGAATGAGAGGGAACCATGGGTGCAGCAGCCCCCTGCTCCTCGTCAGAGCCACAGGGTGTGGCCTGACTGTGTTCTGTGTCCTCATAGTGGTGGTGCCTGTGGCGGTGGAAGTGCACATGGCTGAAGACAGTCTGAGGCGGCTCCTCACAGCCAGTTTTGTCCACCACAGAGTCCAGAGACCTCGGTCGTGCCTGGGCCCCTGGCTCTGGGCCAGGGCCAGGGCCACAAAAAACAAAGGGGTCATAGTCACTGCTCAGAGAGCTGCGAACGGTGGACCAGCTGCCACGGACACACTGTAAAGACACATCTGTACAGTTGAGCACAGAATCACTGGATGATCCATGGCAGGGCCCTGAACTCGAGTCACTTGCTGGTCCATCAGCTAAATATCCACTGCGCTCTGTGTGGTAGCTGCCTCCTGAACAGCTGCTTTCTTCCTGACGACTGTGCCCAGCTGACCTACGAGGTTGGGAGGCCAGAGCTGTATGATGCAGTCTGGAGCTTGATACACTGCGCTGGGCAGCGCAGGAGCGGTAACTGTGGCAAGGTCGGCGAGCTCCGTAATGATGAGAAGTCCTGCAATTACCTGAAATTCTGTGGGGCCGTCCAGGGCCCTCTGCAGGCACATAATATCCACAGTTAGATCCCAGTGGTCGTCCTGAGACAAAACGCAATGGTTGTGAATCCATGGAAGATCCAGGGTAATGACCCAAGTTGGGGTAAGGTCCAGAGGGTCCATGGGGGTAGTGCGGCCTCATAGAGAAAGGAATGGCGTGCTGAGGGAAAGGGTGGCTGTGGGGGGTGCTGTAACCCTGAGCGAGAAAGCCCTGGGTCTGTTCTGAACCTGGATGCAGCCTGCTCCTCTGACTTTGCCGTTCAACTCCTGCAAAAACAATACATAACAATGACGCTGCAACACAATATTATATTGCTTTGTGACAAACGCAGAACTAAGAGACCCACCCATGATATTGTGCATACAGAGGGGGCAGGTGCGGTGCTGTAGAAGCCATGGATCCACACATTCTTTATGAAACTCATGAGCACAGGAAATTATCCTCAAGTTCTGAGAAAAGAGACACAATATGTTAAATATTGTAAGTTTGTGTAAGCTCTCAGTCGTACAGGGATTAGTCAAAGCAAAGGAAGGATGATGGGTGAGAAACCTTCCTTTGCTTAAATATTGTAATAATAAAAACTTAATCAAGCTCTTATTATCTTCACAGGAGTTCATATCAAGAACCAGCTCTTCCATTCATACACTGCTGCATGCACGCTCACTGAGGACAGGCTAAGTGTCCCAGTGGAGCTGAGGTTGAACTGCCATCCTGTGGGTCAACACATCTGATTCTGGCCACTTAATATTTACACTAGGAGTGGAATTTGGACTGCCTCCCAACAGATCAGTGGACGAGCACAATAAATACAACTCAAACTGAACTACCTGTCCGTCTTGGAAGTCCTCGAGGCAGACAGCACACACCGGGCTGGAGTTGCTGCTTGCCGAACCCCATGCCCCACGGTGGCGTTGGGATCCAGAGCAGCCTTGAGAATTGTATGTTTTGGTCTCCAACCGATTGATGGCTTGCATTGTTTGTTGATGAACTGAATCCTGTGTGTATAAAGATGAAAGCATTATTCAGTAAATGTAATATTGTATTTATACATTCTTGGTAATATTATACATTCATATTTTTTCTTATGAAGTGAAGTTGGTACCTACCCAGGTCCTGTTGGATTTGCACTTATATCGAAAAGCAAAGATTAGGATGACTGTCAGGATAGCCAGGACAATGGTGAGTAGAATACCAACATCATAATATGGCTGAAAAACAAATATTGTGCTTTCAGACTTCTGTTTGTAAAGTTTTGCAGTTAGTTTTTTGGTTATTTATGTCTCACCCCTTTTTTCTCCATCTTTAACTCAATTCGCACTTTAGCCTCCTCGTTCTTGTTGACCAAGTCCATTAACTTGTCTGCATCCTTGGCTTCCACCAGGACCACTGGGCGAGGGAGCGAGTCTGCTTTTCTTAGCTTTGTAAGAAAATCAAATCTTAACAAAAATATACTGTGAGCTCTCAATAAGGACCAGTAGATCACTCACCTCAGCAGCGGCGTTGGCATCATCACTGACATCAAAGATAACAGCCTTGGCTCCTTTCTCCAAGGCCATGCGAGCCTGAGGAACAGAAAAAACACCATGGTTCCTTATGGTTCTGAAAAAATAGCCTAACATCAAACATGAAGTGCCACATTCATCCACTAGATGGCAGTCACGTCTCTTTTATCACTGAGGAAAGTTGGTCCAAAGTACAATTTGGCACACCTGCCACTTAGCTTGAAAGCTCATAGGAAAACACTTGCTAACTAACACTTGCTCCACATGCAAATGATATGCATACTTCAATTCATACAAAACAGCGGTTGTATCAGACTTTACAAATTTGTTAATTCGCCAACAACAGATCAAATCAAACAATTTGAACAAAGGAAATGCAATCTTTGCTGCTCATTGCCCTGCAGCTCACTGTCCATTGTTCCTGCCTGGTCACCATGGTAGACAGACATTAATAATAATAATAAGAGACGATGGTCCACAGGCTAATAGAAAAACCTGACAGACATGATATATTTTAATGTTGATAATTAGCTCACAGCTGCAACAACAATAAGTAAACCATCTCAGAAAATTAGAATACTTTGAAAATGGACTGTAAGCAAAAATCATGTACATTTTAACAATCAAAGACTTGGCATATGTCTCTTTACACGTAATAAAACTATATCATGCATTTTTTAACATTTGAATTACAGGAATAAATGGACTTTTAAACAATAATACACTTTTTCCCAAGTTTTCCTCCTTGTCATTATAGCTTTGAGAGACTGTACATGCTCATCTATATTCTATTATCCACATGTTAGCAGATGCGGCCATGGTAAATTAAAGGCTGAAACAATCCATATGTTTTGCTATTTTCATATTTCCAGACATCCCGAGTGTTTTTTCATTTTTTTTTCAGGAAATGACAGCATGGCACTAATGGGTCAATAAGAGGTTAAAATAAAATGACTATATACTCTTTGATTTGGCTTCCAGTTCTGGCACAACAGCCTCAGCCCTGTTTCATCTCAGCTGTAATTGTAGTACGTGCATGGGCCTACATCGGGCGCGGCCACACGAGTTTAAAAAAGACAGGACTGGATGCTCGACATGTGGGAATTTGCTTTTACCTGGGGTTCAAAAGTTCTGCGAGCTATCCTCTAATCACACACACATTAAAAGCAAGCGAGCCCCATACAGATATAGAATTGTTGGAATCGGCAAGGGGTAAAAATAATCTATCACACATCAATAAACTTCAACTTCCATTTTCACATGATTATAATGGAAAACAACTTCTGATCTTGAAAATACAGACAGAACTAACTGGTTCTATAGGCATGTAATTATAAAGTCATTTACAAATAGATGGAATATTAATTATAGACAATTTGTATCTCAGCGTGTGGAGCTACTCTTTTGAACAGATTAGCAGATTATTTAAAAATACGTACAAGAGAAAAGTACTGAAGAAGTGTGTGGGGGAAAGAGAGTTATGTCTTTAGCACAGAGCGACTATTATAGTGTTTTGTCTTTGATTTTGTTCTAAATCCTATCGTCTGTGTAGAGTTTGAAAAACATTTTTTTGATTGATGATTGTTTTTGAGAATATTAAGGTATACATTATTTATCCCCATCGGAATATTTGTTTCTAGGGAGAGGGCTGTTTTGGCTGGACTCGGGCTGTTCTGAAAGTAACACATTTCCATATAACAGTCATGAATGGAATTTTGCACTGCAATCAAAATCTTCAGCTGAGCTGAAGTTGGCTGGATGACAGAGTGAACTTGTGTATATAATCTCAAAGACTACCTTGTATTAGCAAGGCAGAGGGTCACATGAAATTACCCAGAGGCCCGCGGCTGGCCCGCAGCTCTTTGGATATGCCTGTTCTTGAGCCTCTAAGCAGCAGTTGCCACAGTGCAGCGCACAGGGACAATCTGCAGATGGACCAGAGCTGGAGGATTTTATCTATTCTACATGTTATTTGTGGTAGGGGAGACCAGAGCATCCAGAGAACATGCAAACTCATGCCCTGTTCCTATTGGGATTCCAGCCCAGGACATTTTCAAAAAGTGGTTACTGTATCTGGACCAAGTTTGTGCCGCCCCAAAGAATCATTTACAAATGAGAAGAAAAGAAAGAGTCTGAGAACTGAAATTAAACTATAGTGAGCAACAGATTCAGATAAATATGACATATATAAAAATGTGGGTGTTATAAAGAGGACACATGACAGACAGCACAGAGTACTGGATCTGTCTCTGCTGACAGAATATTCAGAATGATGCTCATTGTGAACATGCACCTTGGTTCAGTTTTGCTGATCTGAACAGCAAAAACTGAAGTGATAATGATTTGAGACATTAAAAATGATCTGCCAACCGGTGAAAAGCATCCCAGCAGAGGAAATAGCTGTGGTTTAGTGAAGTACGGAGCGGACGTCACAAGTGTCAAACTAACAAACAACACGACGACCACAACTGCCTTCTATTTATAACAAGGAGCGTTGATGAGAGCTCATTTGACAGCAAAGGTGTAATGTTGGAGGAGGCAAACCTGGATGTGCATGTCCCTTTGTTGAGAAATAATTCAAAAATCTTTAACAACAAAACATGAAACAAATACGGCAAGAGACCAGCCAGCACACTAAAAAGCAGCCCCAGGTTTATAACACTCAAAGAGTTCAAAGATTTGTGTCTTTTTGAAAAATACTGAGATCATTTGAACTGACACTATACAGTATATATCATATCGGTAAAGTTGCCACTTCATCCTATTTATCATAGCAGGAAAAGGCAGAGTTTTTCATTTCCTTGGATATAGAGAAAGAATCTCCCAACAGATGGATGCATGTTGCGTTTTAAAAACATTTACTGTATTTTATAATGATATTAAAATAGGATAATATAATAATGTTTTCATGGTGCAATGTGAATATATAATGTTAAGATTGTATTTAACACACACACACACACACACACACAATAATAGAACGTTTTATAGCAGTACAATGGTTTTATCCTTGTTCTCTAGTTCTGCTCAAATGAGTATCTAGTTGTAGAAGTATAGATTCATAGATTCTGATTTCTGATATTTTTGCCAACCCTACTTCCTGGGTGCCACATTGTGCAATAATTATGAACCATTATTTTTTGGAAATGCTATAACTTTTACTTAAGCTGGAGCACCTGAACCGCAACCAGTAAACAATGTAGTAAAATCCATGTAACTGGTTCCTCGCTCTCAAAACATTTTGCTTCTAACACTAGTTTTCACATTATTAGTATTTTTAGCCTCTGTCACATCTTTAGGTCAGATTTGTCAGTGAGAGTACCAGCCCTCACTCGGCCGATCAGCTCTTATGTACAAAATAACATGTTTTCAAATAATTAGTCTCTGTTGGGGCAAACTAAATGCATTTATGAAAGAAAAAAAACTAGTTAGGTACTGCAGCTTTAATGCCTTTGCTGTATTCAGACTGGCCATGATAGTTTTATGAGCTCAACATTGATCTGACTTCATGTGTAAATAAAAGGTACAACAAACAGGTAAAAGTGGATCCTTTCACTCTCACTAAAGGAGGAAATGACACAGTATAATAAGTGGGAATAAATAGTGAGAGTGAGGGCTTTAGGAGGAGGACTGATGCTGCGGAATGATGTGGCCTTAAAAGTGTGTAATAACAGAGTGCAGAGGTCCTGCTCTGTCATTTCTGTGATCGAGGTCACTGGAAACAGCAGACACACGGCCCACGGCCTCGCTACAGCCACTGACATCCACAAATGTCACTTGTAATTCATTTGAGTTTAGTTTTAGAACAGAGACGTGTAATTCTTTTACTTTATAGTATCCCAGAAATGATACCTTTCATATAGATAGATATATCTGAGGTCTATCGATATTGAAGCATCGCAGCTAGCTTAGAAACATAGCAGCTTCTTATATTGTATATTTTGTGTGGTCCCTGTGTGGTATTACTACTTTCCAGTATGTGTGCTGCAACATTGAAATTTCTCCACTAAGGGACGAATAAAGGTTTTCTCATCCTACACACGCGTGAATGTTATGAAGGAAGGAATAGGTGACTAAAACAACATTATTTGTAGTGTTACTCCATTAAAACACACCACGGTATGTCAAATCACAAGCAAAAGTATTATGTATATGAGTGAGCGCAAGTGCAAGTGATGTTAACAGATCTGCAACTTCCTATGAATGTAGCACTATCTAAATGGAGGACATATTACCATTACAACACCAGCATGTGTGAAGCTAATAATGAATAATAGACCAACATCGTAAAGCGATTTTGTGTCTGTGAAAAGAGACATCAGAATTATTATTTAGTAATAATCATAATCTGTACTTACTAATACTACTACGACTACTACTGCTACTATACCGCCACAACCACTACTTCTACCACTACTACTAATATTACAACCATCGCTGGTAGGGATGCACCGATACAATACTGAATCGGGTATTGGGTAAATACCGTAGGCTTGTGCTCATACGGCGCATACTTGTACTCACCATAGGACCCAATGCCGGCAACCGATACCCAAAGTTGGCAGCAAGAAAGCAAACTAGCAGCAAACGGACCGGATCTCAGGAAAAAAGACGAGAATGACAAGAGTAAAGCGGACTGTACGTTGTGTAAGGCAAAACTGACACCAGGTGGGTCCAAAACAAATGTGTATAACACCAGCAACATCTGAAACTCTCCACCACGCAGAGTATAACACCTTTGCTAGCACCGGAGTTGTTATTACTGCTGATTTATGTTTACAAAGATTGACCAGTTTAGTAATTTTGCTTTTATGTTAATTTACTTACGTTTAAAGTTTATATGTGACAAAAGAACTAAAAAATCTCTCAGTGCATACAAATGGCAGTTATTTCTTTGTATGAGTGGATTATGACAGTGGTTCTCAATGTTGACTGTTAAGAAAATTGCTAAAAATGTTTAATTGTTAAAGCATTTTCTTATTATTGAAATGAGAAACATTACATTTCAGTTGTATTAGTTTGATGAATTCCCAGGGATAACACAGTACTTGCAATGTAGT